GGAGTATCTTAGATGGCCGCTCACAGGCTTTTAAGACCCCAGACGTTACTCACCAAGGTAGAATGTAGGACAATGTCTTTATAAACTGTGTTATGCCTATTGAGCTAGATGTTCCCCGAGACCATGGTCCCTGCAGCCCTCCGCAATTCAGTCCCTCAGGGAGTTTGGATGTGTCTATGGAGCTTCCATGACCTTTTCTTGTACAAGTTGTGCTGGTTTCCCCTGTATTGTGTACTGTCTCACCCTTCACCCAAGATACCACTTATCTATTTAAAAGGACTTCTTAAAAAGTAAATTAATAGTTGTTAATTAGAGTGTCTGATCATGTACCTTCTCAAGTCCTTATGGAAAATAGTAAGTAGGATTTCTTTTTGCCATTCCTCACACATTATCTGTTATACCTCTGTGCCTTTGCACTGATGTATTGTAGGCTGTGGAATGTTAGCAGTGTCCAGGATGAATTATGTTAAAATGTCAGTAAGTTAGCAGGACCTTATTGGCTGTCTCTCGGCTTCCTGTTAAAATACCTCCGAAGATACTTACAGGAAAAGGAAAAAAATGTATATATACCACAGCAGTAGTAACTAAACATTAAAAATTTACCACATGAGATCTTGAAGGAAATTCCACTAATCACAGCACCAGTGAGACTGGATTAGGAAAGGGCCGACATGTTGAACCTTTTTAGTTCTTTACCCTTTGAAGCAAAGCACCCAGGCGCGGTAGAAGTCAGGTAATGAGAGGGGGACCACACAAAAACTGTTTTCTGTTGTGGCCAGTCATTTGCCCCATCAGCCCTGCTTGGCCATGCAGTAGCTTGTCTCATGCTGCAATCTTCTGAGGGAACAGTTCGTCAGGGTGAGAACCAGGAAGGTGCCTGGAAAGCTGTGCCTGGCTGCATGGTTAAGGAAAGAGTCTGCATGTTGGGTCATTCTCTGAGACGGTAGTGTTTAATGGCCAGCCGTGGACTTCCTTCCAATCATTGCACCCCTAACTCTTATATATTAGATGCATTCAGATAAGGGATTCTGCATCTCAAAGTTTGAAGTTCTAGGACACACATCTTCATATTTAGGACTGAACCTTAGAAGCTAGCAGTGACCCTCTTTCAGTCCATTGTGGACCACCAAGTCAGCTGCCTCTGAGGTGTCAGAGATTGGGTAAAGAGACAACAGTAAAGGCACCATCTGTGATTGGTATCTTTATTTTCCATTGGCTTGTCTCAGTTGCCGTGTTTTTGCTTTGTTTGTTTGTTTGCTTTGTCTTATACCTTCTTCTCAGGACTATTGGGTACTTTCTTGGTAAATACACTCAGAAAATACTCAAGTATTTTTCATTGATTTAGAAGAAGAAAAACTGTGGGTATAATAAAATAACAAATTTCTTTCTGAGAATTGTATCTTGTTAACCATGGTGCACTTTAAAGCTCATTATATGTATATCTGTACTGAGGATTCAGGTGGAGATCACTTTCTTTGTTGCTGTTTTTCAGAAACCATTCCCAAAGCAGCATGTAATAAGAGTGAGTCACAGGATGAAATGCTACAGGTTTTTAATGTCGACACTCACACTAGCAAGCAACTGCGGCATTTTAAATTTTTGTCTGTGTCCTTCATGTCTCAGCTCCTGGCTTCCAGTCATTTTATCAGAAAGGTGATGTGTTCATTTAAATGTGTTTACTATAAAATGATTTTGTTTTTTCTGAAGGAACTGTTGTAAGCTAGTAGAAGTAGCTTGGCAAATGTCTCATGAAAACATGGGGCCAAAACATGACTTTAAATAATAGAAAAAAAATAGTATGCTTAACCATGAAAAACTGTTTGGCATTATCTGCTCAGGTTGAACATATATAAAGACTGTGACTCAGTAATTGCGTTCTTAAGTGGTATAAGAAAACAAAACAAAAACCCACACCCTTTGCTGTCAAGTCAGTTCCGACGTATGGGGGCTGCATGTGTTACAGCGTAGAACTGAGTTCCATAGGGTTTTCTTGACTGTAATCTTTATGGAAGGAGATGGCCAGGTCTTCTGCGGCACTGCTAAACCCAGAAGAAGAAAAAAATGAAACCCGTTGCCATCGAGTCGATTCCGATCTGTAGCAGCACTGCTAGGTGGGTTCAAACAGCCAACCCTTTGGCTAGCAGCCAAGTGCAAACCATTTGCACCACTGGGGACCTCAAATGGCATATACCCAACAAAAATGCATGAACATGTGCAGCAAAAGACATCTATAAGAATGTTTATAGTAGCGTTAGTCATAGTAGTCCAAAACTGGCAACAACCCAGTGTCTACAGCGATAGAGTGGATAAATAAATTGTCTTACATGAACCTCCATGACAGGCAGCAACTTGATGAATCTCACAAACATAATAAAGAAAGAAGCCAGACACGGAAGAATGCTTACTATGATTCAAGTTATCTAAAGTTCAAAACAAGCAAAACAAATCTGGTTTTAGAAGTCAGGATAGTGTATATCTAGGGGGAGGAGATGGGGGAGGGCTTCTGGACTGCTGATAATAATCTGTTTTTTTTTTTACCTGGATCGTGGTTTATACCACTTTGTTAAAGGTAGTGGGCTCAGCACGTATGATTTGTGCACTTTTCTGTTGGTGCATTCAGCTGAAACAGTGAGAGAGAAAGGAGAAAAAGAATTACCATGACTAGGAATTCAAGACTGATTTAACATTAGAGCATCTATTATATATAGTACATTGGTAGACCAAGAGAGGAAACCATATGATTGCTGTAATATTTTCAGAAAAATAATTTTTCAGTAATCATTTATGATTTAAGAAAATAAATCCATCCTCTTAGCGACATGGGATAGATAGGAACTTCCTTGGCCTGATAAAAGATGTCTCGGAAACCTATAATTTACATCATAATTTATGATGAAAGTAGGAACAAAGATGCCCTCTGTCAATTGTTTCTTTACAAGAAAAGATGTATAAGAATTAGAAAAAAGAATCAACAAACTAAATTATTAGAACTAGTAATTCGTTCAGCACGCTTGCATGTACAGGTCAGTGTAGACACAGTTTTGTATCAAGTAAGTTTGCTGAATTTGTTAGTTTCACACACTGTTGTATAATGCTACCATTAACCTTATACATCATTAACAACCCGCTAGAAAATATAGTAGAAAAAAGAGCCCATATACAATTAAAAAAACTTACAAGGTACCAAGAATAAGCCTAACAAAAACGTGTATAAGAATATTGTAGAGGAATTTTCAAGATATTAAAGGACACTTTTTAAAAATTGGAAAATACACTGTGTTCTTAGATAGGAAGACTCACTATTTAAAGATGTCAGTTCTCCCCTAGATGAATCTATAAATTCAGTGTGCTTCCTCAATGGCATCTAGTTTTTTTTTTTTTTTAATGGCCTTGACAGGTTGATCCCAAAATGCAAAGGGCCAAGGACAGTGCTGGTACATAACTAATCAGATCAGTGTGGCTGAACAGTAAGCCCAGAAACGCACCCATGCATATGCAGGAAATATAGATAAGTGGCATAACAATGATGTGGGGAAAGAGAATCATGAACATACTAGAGCTGGCACCATTGGTTTTCCACTTGGGGAAAAAAAGAAGAGTCTTATCTCACACCATATACAACAAACAATTCTAAATCAATTAAAACTTAAATGTGAAAATCAGCACTTAGAACTTTTAGGAGAAAATCAAGGAAAACGTCATTGTGACCAGGGGATAGAAAATAACCTCTTACAAACTTCAAAAAAAACAACCATAAACAAAGTGAAAAGGAAGTCACAGACTAAGAAAAGGTTATTGTTGTGCATATAATCAAAGTGCTTCATTTTCCATTAGAACTGTCAAAGAATATGAATTCACCGAAGGGGAATCTCCAATGGCCAATTAGTATATGACAGATTTCCATCTCCCTAGGAAGCAGGAAAAAAGCAGATTAAATGAAATATCAGGATGTCAATCAAATTGGCATAAATTTCAAAGTAGTTCATAACCAGGATGTGGTAACTTTTGTGCGCAGTGGTGGGTCGTGTAAATTGCTACAGCCTCTTTAAAAACGCACTTGGCAGTATCTAGTCAAGTTAGAGATGCTCATATCCTGTAGTCTGTCAGTTCCCTTCCTTAAACATATACTGTACAAAAACTTGCCTAGATGCTTAAAGAGATTAAAAAAATGTTCTTTTCTAGGGTTAATAAAAATTTAAAAAATGGAGATAAAGTAAATGTCTAACAACAGAGGCGAATAAAAGTTGTGGTAGGTACTGAAGAATACTGTCTTCAGTTAAAATGAATGAACTAGACGGACATAAATCACCATCGATTAATCTAAAAAATCTATTACCAGAGAAAACATGCTTTTGAATGAAGTGTACTGTTTGATAACATCTAAACAGTAGATTCAGGCTTTCTCTGTGGGACTGGGGTAGTGGGAGAATGGGAATAGGGAACAGTATGTTGGGGACCACAGCCATACCTGTAATGCCTAACTTGGTTCAAAGAGAAAAAAATCCCCTCTGCCGTGAGTCAATTCCGACTCGTAGCAACCCCATAGGGATTTCAAGTCTATAAATCTATATGGAAGCAGACTGCTACATCTTTCTCCCAAGGAGCTGCTGGTGGTTTTGAACCGCCAATCTTTCAGTTCACAGTCGGTCGCTTTAACCACTGTGCCACCAGGGCGCCTCTTAATTTGGTTAGTAGTTCACAAAAGTAGGTAGTGGGTAAATGATGTGCTTTGTTTTCTGTATTTTTTCTGAACCTGTATAGTACTTTACAAACATTAAAAATAGAAGGCTATTAAAATAAGAAAAATAGGTAGTTACAGTACAATAAGGATGATCTGAAATAGATATTGTCAGAAAAAGGTTGCTATGGGAAATTTAAGTGCATAATCTTAGATGAGTTTCACTGAACCAACTTCAAATGATTTTTTTATTATCAACTTTCATACTGTTCTAATGGTTCTTTCTTTTAAAAATTAGGTAGTTGAAAGTGGTGGTCCTCAGATTTTAAAAGGCCTTGAACAGAGGTACGTTTCTTTTTTTTAACTTTTTATTTGGAAATAATTTCAAACTTACAGAAAAGCTGAAAGAATAGTACACAAAACTCTCTTTACCCCAGTTCACCACTTACCATTTTTTGCATATTTGCTTTATCATACTATCTACATACAGTGTTTCCCTGAGCCATTGAAAGTTGTATCCCCTTTACCACTAAATATTTTAGTGTATATTTACTAAAAATAAGAGCATTTTCTTGTAAAACTATAGTACAGTTAGGAAATTTTTAAAAAAATTAACATTGATATAGTAAAAACCCATTGCTCTCCAGTCAATTCCAACTCATAGTGACACTGTAGGACAAAGTAGCACTGCCTCATAGGGTTTCCTAGTCTGTAATCTTTATGGAAGCGGATCACCAGGTCTTTTCTCCTATGGAGTGGCTAGTGGGTTCAAACTGCCAACCTCTTAGTTAGCTGCCGAGCATTTAATCACTGTGCCACCAGGGCTCGTTATTGATATGATACTGTTACCTAATCTACAGTTCATATACTGATTTCCGTAATTGTCCCAACAGTGTCATTTATACCACTTCCAGGTTCTTTGTACCGTCCCAGGACTGTGTATTGTATGTAGTTGTCACATCTTGTTAGTGTTTTTTAATCTGGAGCAGTTCTGTGGGTGCTTATGAATTCTTACTTTATTCAGTGGGTTATAATCCATATGCTGTCATTACGTATTTCGGTACAGAAATTCTTTCTGCATATGACTGCATCCTCAAAGTGTACCTTCTGACTTTTCTGTATACCTCCTTCCCTAGGAGCTTTGCCTTGCCTAGACCACCATTGGGCCTCGTGTACTTTAAAGTCCCTTTCCTATAGCCGGTATTGTGAGTTCTCTTCCAGTCCTGTGTCCAGGATTTTAGTACCTAATGTATGGTTTTCCATTTCTGGGGCTGGTTTTGTCTGTGCCCTCTGCTCCCCTCCTCTTCTCTGCAGTGTCAAATTCTGCCTCTCCTCTCCTCTCCAGTCCCACCCTCACCCACACACTCGCGTGCGCTCTCCGTACACTCGGGCTGGCAGTGGGGGGGAGCTCCAGTGGGAGTGTGTTGGTATTTGGTGTATACTTCTCAACATGCAGGTTATTTCAAGTTCATAGTCTCTCCTCAGCCTCTGAGTAATGCTGAAGGCATGGGTTGTGTTTATTTGCATCTTTTTTAATCTGGTTGTGTGTGTGTGTGCGTGTGTTAAGGCTCTGGAGTAAGGTTCTGACATAAGCAGCGGCCGTTAACTGAGGGCCACAAGTCCATGAGCACCCAAACTTTGTACAACGCAGTCAGGCTCACAGTCGCTGATTCAGCAACTCACAAAGCCTGAGATTTGACGATCTTTCTCTTTGAGAAAGGCATCTGTTTACTTCTTATTGGTATTTTCTGTGATGATAAACCCTCTTTTTCTTTCTTTCCACATAGTTGTGAATTCAGTACAAAATTAATGATTTCATTGTGTTTTCTATTTGAAACATTCTGCATGAGGGAGGGATAAGTGAGTACTTAAAACAGCTGCAGCAACTGTTTGCTAAACAAATCTTTGTTTTAGATTGCTAGAAACTGTTCTGGGCTATATTAATGCTGTAGCCCAGTCCCTGGAGAAAAATGCAGACAAACTGACTGTGAAGTTTTGGCGAGCTCTCCTTAGTAAAGCTTACGACATGTTAGATAAGGTAGGTTTCCATGTCTCCATTATTGTTTTGCTGCTGATTTTTATGTCATTGTGAATTATTTAGCTGAAGGTTTTAAGAATAAAATTAGCAGTAGCTTCTCTTGATATAATGAAGCTCAGTTTTGCTTGAAATAGACTCTCTTGATGACTAGAAATAAACTTATCTGAAAAAAGATTGCTTCCCTAATTAGAAGAACAGGTGCCTCAATAAATATGTTTTAAATATTCAGTTGTGTAATATACTATAGAGTGTTCCACTTTATTCAGGTGGAATAAACTAATAATATTTATAGGTAGAGTTTGTGGAATATTAGAAATATCACTGGCCTAGAAATTAGGAAAGCTGTTTAAACCTAGCTAAATTGTTTAGTTAGATGGCCTCGGGCAGTTCACTTACTCTTGGCATCATTTCCTTTCTTCATTTAACAAATTGTTATAACAAACTATGCCTATCTGAAAGGTTACTGTAAGAATTAAAAAATTACATGTGTATGAAAATGATGCCTGGCCCCTAGGAGGTGTGTGATAAGTAAAAGGCTATCTTAATCCAAGTTGAACTTCTTCCTTTTCTTTCTTTTTGAATATAAAACTTCTGTATAGGTCAATGCCTTGTTGCCTACAGAAACATTCATTCCTGTCATCAGAGGGTTGTTGGGCAACCGACTGCCGTCTGTGCGCCGGAAAGCACTGGATCTTTTGAATAACAAGCTGCAGCAGAACACATCCTGGAAGAAGAAAGTAGTGAGTAAATGCTGTGCATCAGACCCAGTTACTGTCCTGTGCCTTGTCAGCAGGCTGTGTCTAACTCCCTTAGGTTTCTCCAGTGGTACAGTTTACAATTGAAGTATATTATTACCTGAATATAATGCTGTGATGTGTTTTTAAAATTGTGATGTTAATTCTAATCGTAGTATATATGTGTAGTGAGAGCTCTTTGAATGGAATTTCAGCTTAATGGAATTCTTAATTACTTAGTGCAGGCCATTCATTGCCTTAACTTAAGCATAATTCTAATCCTCTTTTACTCCAAACCTATATATAAATCAGAAATTCGTTGGCAAGCATGTATATTTGCTTAGCAGTACAGAAAGCAGATAAAGAAATGCTTGTGTATGTCATGTAGCTTAAGGACCTGTAAGGCTGATTTCCATTTAGATGATCTCAAGCAGTAGAAATGGGGAACGGACTAGCATTTGTACACAGCTTTAATTATCTGGGGTTTGGGCTGTCCTCTTCAGGTTCACAGTTTCCTACAATTAGTTCCAGTCCTTTTGGCCATTGTGCAGCGTAAAAAGAAAGAGATGGAAGAACAAGCAATAAACAGACAGACGGCTTTGTATACCCTAAAGCTTTTGTGTAAGAATTTTGGTGCAGAAAATCCAGAGCCATTTGTCCCTGTGCTGACCACTGCAGTTAAACTGATTGCTCCAGAAACCAAGGAGGAGAAGAACGTCTTGGGAAGTGCACTGCTGTGTATAGCAGAGGTGACCTCCACCCTGGAAGCACTGGCGATACCCCAGCTCCCCAGGTACTCTACTTGGGACTTGAAACAGGAGCGATTACACAGGGTTACTGGTGTAGAATGAAAAATCACTCCTGGTGATTTTTTTTTGGCTCTGAGTAGTAAATACAATTAGATTTGTTAAAGAATGTTACTTTTCTTCAAATTGAAACATACAACATTCCTGTTTATTTTATGGTCCCTTGGTTCTCACTCCCCCTTGATAGCTGTAATTGGGCAGCACTAAGTGCAGCCCCTTCGTCAAGGGGCTGATCCAGCCAGGCAAGGCAGATGCTGCCTTGTGCTGCCCACACTCAGAAGGGCCTGGCTCCATCCTCGCCTTTGACATTTACTAGCTCTGCAGCTGTGGGCTGGTTACGTGACCTGTGAAAGCTTTGCCATCTATGAGGGGAAGACATTACCTACCTTGTGGGGATTCTTGTAGGGCAGTGAATGTAAGGCTTTTTGCACAGTGCCTGACACATAGCAGGTGTTCAGTACTTGACAGACATTGTTGTTAAAAAATTACTGCTGTGTCAGTACTGTTGGCACTGGGAAATGTCCTGTTCTTAGGCACACATGGGGCCATCATGAATTGGGGGTTGACTTGATCGCAGCTAACAACAGGCACATAAGATGTGTAGACAAGGTTTTGCAGACTGTGAGTCACACAGGGATGTAACAGGCAGATTATTTTGTTCGGATTTTTCATAATGAACTCTGCTCCGTTCTCCAGTCCCTGTGTAAAGTTGCTCTAAAACTCTTGCTCTCTATTTTTAGCCTGATGCCGTCGTTGTTGACGACGCTGAAAACCACCCTTGAGCTGGTCTCCAGCGAGGTCTACTTGCTCAGTGCCTTGGCCACCCTGCAGAAGGTCGTGGAGACCCTCCCACACTTCATCAGCCCCTACCTTGAAGGGGTCCTGTCACAGGTGTGCTGGGGTAACCACAGCACGGTGTTTGGGGTGGAGTGGGAATGGGAAAAATGACAGACTTAATGGTGTGATTTGTTCTTTTTTTAGTTCTGTTTTACAGGAAAAATTCTTATTTCTGAAAAGGTGTTTGGTTTTTTTGAAATGTGTGCCTCTTTTTCTCTTCCATCGTCCCTACTGCTTAATCATGAAATTGATTTCGGGGTCACTTTGTACTGAGGGTCTTACCTTCTTTTGTTATTGCAGAATGTATTATATTGCCTTTTTTTTCCCCTGTGAGATCTTTGGCATTAGGATGGTAGAGCTGCCTTTTATTATTTTTTGTGGAAACTGGTGTGCCATATTTGTCTGTAATGTAAAAAGTTTCTGAATCCTAAGGTGTCTTTCAAGCAGAATTCGTATATTGCAGTACAGCAGCTGCCTGACATTGACCTCCTTCGTTCCTCTAGTTATTCTTCTTCTCTTGGAGCAATTGTAGATTGTTTAGCAAGAACTTGACTCTTCTCACGGTCCCTGGATTCCTGTCCTCTAAGAAAATCCCCCATCAGAGTGCTCTCTGGGCTGGGGCTGTTTGCTTTTGCTCACCACCACTTACCCACCTCCCTGAGGCCCAGTTAGGAAAGAGGTATCTGCCTAGTTTGACTTTAAAAGGAATTCTGTGTATAGCTAGAAAGCACACTGAGCTTTTTGTAAGCACCAGCATTTGAACTGGTTTCTTGTGGTCATCACTAAGCCTTTCTGTAAGTGTGTGAAGGCTCTGGAGGAGCGTTCACAATGGCCTTGACAACTGTGTTTATATTCCTATAGGTGATTCACTTGGAGAAAATCACTAGTGAAATGGGTTCTGCCTCACAGGCTAATGTCCGTCTCACATCTCTTAAAAAGACACTGGCGACCACACTATCACCCCGAGTCTTACTGCCAGCCATCAACAAGACTTACAAGCAAATTAAAAAGACATGGAAGGTTTGACCCATATTGGGTATTAGATGTTGGAGAGGGAGAGGTGGTACTTAAGCTTTTAAATTTTCACTTAAAGAAGAATACGGTCATTTAATTCCTTTACAAATGCATTGCGGAACTCTAGGAATAATAAACATGGCACATCTCCTTATTGTGTTGTTGGCAGGATCACATGGGTCCATTTATGAGCATCTTGCAGGAGCATATTGGGGTGATGAAGAAGGACATGCTCACCAACCACCAGTCTCAGCTCACCAAATTTTTCTTAGAGGCCTTGGACTTCAGAGCACAGCACTCGGAGGTCGGCTTATTTCCACCCCCCACAATCCTGAAAGTGTAATCTTTCAAAATAACACGTATCAGAATAATTTAGAGCTTGATGTCAGTACTCTGGCTAATAAGTCCGCTCTTCTGTTTTCAGAATGATCTGGAGGAAATTGGAAAAATTGAAAACTGTATCATTGACTGTTTAGTAGCCATGGTTGTAAAGCTTTCTGAAGTCACCTTCAGACCCCTGTTCTTCAAGGTCAGTCTTTTCTTCCTCAGACATCTCCTTTTATTAACATACACCTATAAAATATGTTATAAAAAAAAAAAAATTGCCATCAAGGCAGTTCTGACTCATGGCGACCCCATGTGTGTAGAAGAAACTAATACTACTTTGTCTTTTTAGCTGTTTGATTGGGCTAAAACAGAAGATGCCCCAAAGGACAGGTTACTGACATTTTACAACTTGGCAGATTGCATTGCTGAGAAACTAAAAGGACTTTTTACTCTCTTTGCTGGCCATTTAGTGAAGCCTTTTGCTGACACCTTGAACCAGGTGAACATCTCCAAAACAGGTTGGTAGCTCACTTCAGTTGTCTTCCTAAGGCACAATAAGTACAAGACATGACCTGGTGCTCAGAGAAAGATTTTGCAGATTCTTGAATTCTAGGCTAAGGAGTGTGAGTGTTTACTTTGTAGTTAGTTGTCAGACATTAAAGTATTTGTTTCAGCTTAATGAAAATGTGGTATTAATACATTGACTCATTTGGGAGAAAGACATTAAGTGAATGGACATTATTGCTAAGTCATTGGAAGTAACTTTGAAACATTAAAATTAAGATTGGTTTATTCTCTAATGCTAATAAGCAACCCACTTGGCAATTCAGGTAATTTAACTTGCCAAGCTAAGTATTAGAATCTTTTAACAGCTCTAACAGAAGGAATCACTTACACTAGAGGCCATCAGCTTTATTTGCATTCTGCTGTTATCCAGATTATTATGATTTCTAGATCATCTTAGAAATACTTTTCTGATTATAGTTATTTTATGGTGGTTCAAACTTAAAACTGTGAAAGCTTCATCTTTTTTTTTCATTTTTACTCTATCCACAGATGAAGCATTTTTTGACTCTGAAAAAGACCCTGAAAAGTGCTGCTTGCTGTTGCAGTATATTTTGAATTGTTTATATAAAATCTTCCTTTTTGATACTCAGCATTTTTTAAGTAAAGAGAGAGCAGAAGCCTTGATGATGCCTCTGGTGGATCAGGTAACTAACTGCAGCTGTCATGTTTCCTCACTGAGAAAGCCATCACTGGTAGATCTGTGCTGGTTTCATAGCTACTAAAATGATAGCTTGCTAGGCATTGTTCTGGAGCTTTTTTTAATATTAAATATTCCTAATGAAATTTGTATTTCAAAATTGATTTCTCATTTCTCATAGATTTAACTCAACTTCAGAGTACAATTTATTGAGTTTTACTTATGAATTTTTAAAAAGGAGACATGATGTAAGGTCTCATTATAAGATTTTTTATTAGTTGGACTTTTTGAGAATGCTTTAGGGCTTGGCTTCTCTCTGAAAGAACTCATCCAAGATGGTCTGCTGCAGGGAAAGGCATACTATGAACGGCTAGGAGATTCCGTTTAAGTTTCTCATAGATTTAAGCCCAAGAAGTTCCAGAAGGTGGTAAATGTGCTTAGAGTATTGGACTGGTGCCTGGATTTTGAACCTGCTAAAATCATGAAGGGTAACCAAAAACAGCCCAAACCCATCATGAAGGGTAGGGTAGTAAAACATTATTTACACAATGGGTATTTTCAAGCAGAAGAAAACATAGGACACTGTGGCTCAAAGTCTTTGTCTTATTCTTAACAGCTAGAAAACAGACTTGGGGGAGATGAGAAGTTCCAAGAGCGGGTGACGAAGCACTTGATACCTTGTATTGGGCAGTTCTCCGTGGCTGTGGCAGATGACTCTCTGTGGAAACCACTGAACTACCAGATTCTGCTAAAGACGAGAGACTCCTCACCCAAGGTTAGGAGCTGATCAGTGTGTTGTCAGACAACCACTGACGCTGCACATTTTCACTGTGGAACACAAACCTAGAGTGGATCATGGTAAACTGACGGGAGAGTATTGCTACTGGTCACCTAGTGCTAGAGGTCAGCTGTGTTAGGCAGAAGTTTGAGCCTGATAAAGTTTTTTTATCTACAGGGTTATTTATAACAATCCCCTGCCCTGATAACGTGGTAGGTACTTGGAAGTACTAAAATACTTTCTAAATACTTTTAAATCTTGAAAGGCAGAAACTGGAAGTAATTCCTTGTGTTTTTAAAGTGACATTTAAATTTCAGTGCGCTACCAGAGATAAATGCTTTGTTTTGTCCACAGAACAGTCCTCTGAGTTAGAGCAATGCATTGTTTTTATTAGGCTTATGATTTAGTAATGAAAGTTAAGTGGTCATGGTAGAAACACACTGTCATGGGTAGGTTGAGTGGAGTTAAAATTCCATACCTGAGTGTCAAAGTTTTCAAATTAACTATCATGTTAGAACCTTAGTGGATAAAAACAGACCAAAGCAGAATTTATTAATAGGATTTATAAGTTCAAATTTATAACATTTATTTATTAGGAAATAATCAGGAAAAAATGATGCTATTTGGATGACTCCCCAGGTTTTGAATTATAGGTTCTTACACAAGTTGTATCATCAAATTGATTTTAATATTTTATTTTGATTACACAGTATCAAGAAAATCCTGATTCAACATAAGTAGTTACAAATGGTTTTTAAAACAATTCACCTTGCAATATCCAAATAGTCTTTAAATTATCCCCAAACCTGAGAGAGCACTAGCTGGACTTTTGTTTCAAAGTGAATTGCTAACCTAAGAATACCTACTAACAAGTGCCTGCGTTCCTGGTCGTACACAAGTCATGTGAGGAACACCCAAAACTTTTTTTTAAAGTTCCAAAACATCTGTTCTAGGACATTATGGCACAGTGAGTGTGTTTTTTCTTCATCTCTGAGGCGAGCTGCCCTGGACTATCACAGTGTATAGTGCTGACCAGTCGGCACTGATGCACAGGGAGCCCTGCCCAGAGATGGCAGGAGGTGCTCGATTGTATGGGGTGCACTCCGGTGCAGGGGTATTTGATGATACACTTGAGTTTGCATGTGCTGTTAGTTTTGTTTTTTTTAAAAGGACAGTGTTATAAAAAAATATCTTCACATTAAACATCTACAGCACTGAAACACAGTTTGAAAACTACTGATTTATAAGGTTACTCACATTACAGACAAATCCCAAATTGTTAAACTGGTATTCAAAGATGAAAGTTGAATGGACAGAATGAAGTGAAATAAAATGAGAAATAACATTTAGTTTAAAAAGTTAGAGCTTCTTTCAAGTCAGCACAGATTTTAAGATAACAAATACAGCCATTCTACTTTTTATCATCATTCTTTGCCCTTTTCTTCCTTTCAGGTTCGATTTGCTGCTTTGCTTACTGTGTTAGCAGTGGCTGAAAAACTAAGAGAGAATTATATTGTCTTGCTACCAGAATCCATTCCTTTCTTAGCAGAACTGATGGAAGGTAATTCCCAAACTATTAAGAAATAATCACAGTAAATTTCTGTGAAGATATGCCAACCATAATGCAGATGTGGATATAAATGTGCCTGGCAGTTGGTGCCAGTCCTCCGCCCACTCCCATCTCTAGTCTGGATAGGCTGGAGCCCACAGAGAGTGAGGTGGAGGGATGCTGTTACAGAGTGACTGCTTTGTGATCATTTAGGACATTATTTACAGCATAAGCTTCACTAGCTTTCGTTCTGTGTTTTTTGTAATAGTATAGACTACAATGTTGTTTTTCATTAACCTCATACATTTTATGTGATTGAATATTTTGGTCCCCAGTTGTGGGGTTATTGTATCTAGATGTCTAGTGCCATTAAGGGCGCAACAGGGCATCCACCTATTAATACACCCACTCCTCACTTTTCGACATGGTTAGGTTCCAAAGACCAGGTTGTTACGTGAAAATCAGCATTAGGTAAAAAATGGAGGATGACCACATCAGGTCACAAAATGGAGGATGAGTATATCATTACATAACTGCCAAACCACTGAGAATCATAGCCCTGCCAAGCTGACACGTAACTTTAACCAGCCAGCGTTACTGTCACCTTGCACCTCTGCATTCATTACTGCCAGATGTTATGTCCATTAATGCACAAAGTAGCCTGACAGATTTTTTACTGTTGTCATAAATGCAAAATGTTGGATAATGAGGTAATCAGTGAGGAGGGAGTGGGTGTAATGACCAATATTTATTCGGTGTTCTGTGTTAGGTGCTTTATATGGGTTATCTCATTTGATTTCACAATGAGGTATATACCACTAACCCTGTTTTACAGAACAGGAAACTAGAGGCTTGAAGGGATTAAGTAATTTGATAAAGGTAACAAAGCCAGTGAGTGTAGGAGGAACTGGGGTTTAAATGAGGTCTGCACAGTTTGGGAACGTGTGCTCTTAAGCATTATACTACCATGTGCCAAGGAAAATAACAGTAAATCTTAGTAAGCAGGGATAGTGGAGACAAGAAGATAAACACACATATAGTAATGATTCACCGCTTGCCTAACAAAAAGTATTCTTCTCTCCTGGAGAGGGGCTGTGTGAGCTACTAAAGGAGTGGCATTGCTGGGAATGTTGGGGTTCTTATTCAGCTTCCAAATGGAGCCTGTTTCTGAGCCTGTAGGAGGGGCATGAAGGCAGAATGAGGGATACAGGGGATGCATTCCCTGGTGCTTTCTTCTTGTTAAGGTGCTTCATTTCACGCCTCTGATGGAATGATTGCCAGGGAATGCAAGCCATGAAGGGCTGGGCTAATGATAATTGAGGCAGGAAGACCGACTCAGATTTTAATTTTTTCTTTTTTTTTTAGATGAATGTGAAGAAGTAGAACATCAGTGCCAAAAGACTGTTCAGCAACTGGAAGTCGTACTGGGAGAGCCACTCCAGAGCTACTTCTAAAACTTTGCTTTTTAGTGTTTCATACTCTGTTCAGACTTCAGATTTATTTTTCATGTTTTTGTTTTTGGATTTTGGGTGCCATATTTCTGTTGGTACCTTAACACCCACTTGGACTAAAGATATTTAATCATTTCTTTACAAAATTCCCACCTGGTTTGTGCTACCACATAAGCTTCTCCTCCCAGTTGTATATATTTGCAAAAAGAGTAAATCGTACATGGTGTTTTTATACCAACTGCTATGTTTGTTTATACATTTATTATAAATAGTCTTTTCTTAGTAAAGTTATTAATATTGCAGGCATGTTTAACTCTAGCAGCCAAAGTTACTGGCACCTCATTTAGCCTGGAAAGCCTTAATCCTTCTGTCAAGGGATGTATTGTGCGTATGGTGTCCACATTAGCCATTTCACTCAGTGTGGCTCTCTACTTCAACAATGTGATGCTTACTCAGCCCTCAACCAAAATACCTTCTATCTGTAAACAAGGTGGGCTTTTACATTTCAAGCAGACAACACTTCACTTCAGCCTTAATTATTTTGTGTGTCCCTGAAGAGGGAAGTGGTTCTGGAATGTGTTTTTCACATAAGCCTATGTTGGATCCTTCAGTCTTTCTTGGTTGGGGGTAGTGAGGACAATATTCTGCTTATAAAACAACAGCCCATACTTGGCTGATCATGTAAACAGAAAGGGCCCAGAAACACTAGGTGGCATGAGGGTGTCCCTCCAGTATTAAGAATTATCATTTCCACAGGGGGCTAACCAAGAATTGCTATATGAGAAAGAAAGTAAATATATTTCAGTATTTTTTTCAATGCTTTGAAGTTCTATAATCTCTAGTACTGTGTCATGGTGAAGGTAGGAGGTGAGAGCGCAAATAAGATTAAACAACTGTGCCTTTATTTTTTAAGGAATCTAAGAACTGTCCCCTAACAATATTTACATTTGCACTTGAAAGCCTTTGATCTGACTTACTACAGAAATTTAATGCAGAATTGTGACATAATAAGCAAAAGGCCAACTTGCAACTTAGAGATACAACTTGCTAGGAATGTAGATTTTTCTCTAAGAATGCCTCGATAAAATTCGTTAATAATAGCTTCCTTCCCCCCAAAAAATACATGTGAGATTGTGTTTATTCTATCAAAAAGTAAGTGATACCACAATGTAAAACAAAAATGAAAATGAACTAAGTTTAAGACTTACAGGAAACAATGCAAATGGGCTTTTAGTTTTTCCTGAATGGCCTATAGTCTCCAACATCTCAGTCATATGCTCTGATGCTCTTTATGAAGGAAAAATAATCTAGGGGGATTCTAGAGCCCACGTGCCTTCTACAACTTTCCTGCACACCCCCCTCCCACAGTGTCATTTCGAGCTTGGCAAGACTATCTACATAATGAATTTAACATGAAAAGGTGGGAAATGGAGGGCTAGCAGTTTCTACACTGAGTACTTTTTAAAAATAAGAGATTGATAATAGTATTCTTTTCAATACATGGATTCAAATAATACTTAAGTAAAATCTCTTATGAACATATTCCTAAATCTGTCAGAATCAGCCCAACAATTTAATATTATAAAATGATCTGACTGACCTAGCCCCCGCAGCCCCACTCTGAGACCTTTGAGATTTCCTGTAACAAGATCTGACCTGTAAAGGTTCTATGCAGAATTTCTGCCAGCTCACTTCAAAGAATAGAAGAATTACAGAAATGTAACAGTTTGACTTGCTGATACAGGTTTGATTTAATCACTTAAAGTAGAACAATGTTTTGATCTCAGTTGCTAATGATGGACTAATCTTTAGAAGAGCAGAGAGGCAAGTGTTGGTTTGCACGCAGACAAGCAAAAGACTTGGATTACCTTTCTCTACCTACTTCACTGGTCTTTCAATTGGTGTATTTTACTTTCTGGTAGTACCTATTCAACATTTGTTAAGTCTAATCTCAACACTGCTTTTTGCTAACCCATAAAATGTTTTAAAAGTTGAATTCATACTGCCTGTACCTTAAACTGGAGCCCCAGTGGTGCAGTGGTTAAGCACTCAGCTGCTAACCAAAAGGTCAGCGGTTCGAACCTACCAGGTACTCTTTGAGAGAGAAAGATGAGGCATTCTGCTTCTGTAAAGATTACAGCCTTGGAAACCCTATGGGGGCAGTTCTGCTGTGTCCTGTAGGGTTGCTATGAGTCGGAATTGACTCTGTGGCAATGGGTTTGGTTTTGGTTTGTTATCCTCAACTTTCTGTATGCAGACGTGCAGGCCTTTAACTCACCCTAAGTTCAAATCCTCTGAAATACTCGTTTACCGTACAGAGATCAGCTCTCTTGAACTTAACATCAAGTTAATTTCAACATTTTTTGTTTTGTATTACTTTTTGCCTTAGTCTTTGTGCTGTCTTCAGATTTTATTGTGTTAATTCTTCGGTAAAGTTTTTGGCTAGCAGAGATAGATGTTTATTATGCTAAAGAAAATTACCCTTTAAATTACAGGATATGATAGAAAACTGGATATGAAGGAATAGTGTCTCCTATAAATTAGTGTCTTTAGGTTAGTTAATAACTGAGTAGCTGTTTTAACTCTGAAGGACCCTGGTGAGTTTGAGCAATGCCTATAGAAAGAACAGTAGCCCAACAGAAGAGCACAGAAGGTCCTAAGCTCAAGCAAACAGGGAGTTAGTCTTGTCCACCACTATGTGTATATATCCCCAGCTTCTAGCACAGTGCTGACAGACAAGTGTTCAATACATGTTAGCCACTGTGTTACAGTAGGCACTTAATACTTGTTGAATATGAAGTGGGGTTAATAAAGAGACCAAAGTGAAAGCAAGAACAGAGTAGCCTTAATAATCAAATTGCTAGTGCCACAAATTTTCTCATTCTGTGCCCAAGGACTGAGAATGCCCAGGAGACTTAATACTATGCAAGCTCATTTTAACAATATAAACAGTATAATGACAGTGAGATGAGTTTTAACCAGGCCAATATCACATAAGCCATTTTGTATTTCGGTTTTTGTAGCAGTCATATCAACTACCAGCTCCTTACTTCCAATAAGTTGATATCTCCATCAATTTCCACCATGTCAATATTGCTAAGCTCTTTAAATCTGTGCTTGTACTCCAGGCTGTGTACACCATTTATCGCAACCTTGAATTCTTTAACATCACAATAAACTATCATCTGAAAGGAAAGTAAATATATCATTAGTGGTTTCCCTCAGTTTAAAATTTTTGTTTGCTGCACACAAACAGCATGTCAAGAATTAAACCATTTAGTTTGCTTTACACTGAGAAGCTCTCTCAGCCTGCTGCAGCTAACTTCCCTTCTGTGATTTCTGAGACACCCATCTAAAGGGGGGTATGCTGGTAGTGGTACCTCCTGCCCTGTCCTGATGAGGGAAGTTGCTCTCAACATGCCTGGAACCTCACACCATCCCAGGCTTTGCTGGCCTTTGTGTCCTCAGCACGGGCTTCTCCTGCCCCTTGCTCCTGGGGAAATGGAACGTTCCTCCTCACCAGTGCTCGGGAACTCTAATGAAGCGGACTTCTGGAAAAATTCAGCTGACTTTTGGATTTTTTGTTCCTCATTTCCTAAGGAGCTTATTCCAATTAATAGGTTGGGAGCCACAGGACTTGGGTCCTGATTTTTCTGCTTCAAATTAACTCCAAGGTCTTGGACAAATCATACAATGAACGTGGAATTTCAGAAGCTGAGGGCAGTGCTAGGGATTGCACTGCTGTTTTGTGATCCTGATCACACACCAGTGTGGCACATCGTGGCATCACTGTTCCTCAAAAGCTCTTCAAAGCGCAGTATTCTGATTCTAAGTAGTAATTAGCATTCTGACAGATTCAGTTCAGATTCATCACTGGTGGTAGCCTTTCGGAGTTGTCTGCCTAAAACTCAAACCAATAAAAAAATACTGTTCTTTTAAATCACCTTACACCTGAACGTCGTACCTCTGATACCATGTTCCCAACGTCACCATCTGGCTACTGATTCTACCGTTAGTTTTCCACCCCCAATGAAAAGGCCAGTGTCCTCAATGTGCCACGTGTTTGTTCTCCTTAGGGCCCTTGCCTCCATCAAGACTTTGGAACAGAGCAAAGAGGGACAGCACAGCTTGGCTGCTAGCCCAGTCCCATCCCCAGAGGCCACGCTGAGACACAAAATCTCAGTCTGGAAAGAAGAAAATTGAGTATCTTTACTCTTGATAGGAGTAATAGAAATGGATGTTAGGAGAAATTAGGAAGAAGGGGAAATTCTGTGAATAATAGAGCAGAGCTAACTGGCACAAATGAAGGCTATGGGACTACATAGAGAATTGGAAAATCTGTAACCTGAGATGATATGCCCACAAGAATAGTGAAGTTCCAGGTGCAACCAGGAGGAAAGAGCCTTTGGTAATGTGCATTTAACAAAATCTCAAGGGAACACTTAACACCCTGCCTCACATTATGGCTCAGAGGGAAAAAAAAAATTGGCATCAGGTGGATGGAGTGGGAAAGGAGTCAATTAGTTGACGCCTATATAGTATTAGAGCAAATGCACAACCAATGAATTACCAGCAAATGGCAAAGAAATGACACACAACTAGATGAACGTACTACTGCCAAACAAAAGGAAGGCCACCACCGTGCGACAGACAGACCCCGACCTAAACGGAAGTACGGACCAGTAACATCCTCACAACCATCTCGGACTACAGAACAGCTTGGCAAGAACATGAATGAGATTTTTTAAAAAAGACTAGGTGAATTTTAGACACGGAACAGAAGACACTTTAAAATCAAACTGATGGCATAGTGGAAAGATTTGAGATAATCTCAATGAAAGGATACATAAAAGGCAATACTTTGAAGTAAATGGAAGGAATCTATGGAAAATTAACCATAAAGATCCAACGTAATTATTGCTCCTGAAGTAGAAAACTAACAAATGGAAAAAAGAAGATGTACTGTGTTTAAAGATACATACAATGCATCTATTCATTCCTTCAACCAGCCAGCCTTGTAACTGTATCACAGAAAGATTTCTGGAATGGGGTTCATCTAAACTTAGGAGTATTATCTGAATTAAGAGACTGGGGATAAATTTTGAAAATTTTTCATGTTGGTATTTTTCTACACTTATTTTAAGTCGTTATAATGAGCACTTTTTTTTCCTAAAACAATAAGGGACTTGAGGAAAACAGCAGAAGCAAATACATCAAGATACTAACTGGTTAATTCTCAGGGTTGTTGTTGCCATCAAGTTGGTTCCGACTCTGCAACCCTCTGTACCACAGAACAAAACACTGGTTGGTCCCGTGCCATGCTCACAATCGTTATGCTTGAGCCCACTGTTGCAGCCACCATGTCAATCCATCTCACTGAAGGTCTTCCTCTTTTTCACTGACCTTGTAATTTACCAAGCATGATGTCCTTCTCCAGGGACTGATCTCTCCTGACATGCCTAAAGTACGTAAGACATAGTCTCACCATCGTTGCTTCTAAGGAGCATTCTGCTTGTACTTCTTCCAAGACAGATTTGTTCGTTCTTTTGGCAGTCCATGCTGTATTCAATATTCTTCGCCAACACAATTCTTTAGCATCAATTCTTCTTTGGTCTTGCTTATTCATTGTCCAGCTTTCACATGCATATGATGCGACTGAAAATACCATGGCTTGGGTCAGGTGTGCCTTAGTAGTCTTCAAGGTGATATCTTTGCTTTTCAACACTTTAAAGAGGTCTTTTGCAGCAGATTTGCCCAATGCAATGTGTCTCTTGATTTCCTGACTGCTTCCATGGGTATTGACTGTGGATCCAAGTAAAATGAAATCCTTGACAACTTCAGTCTTTTCTCTGTTTATCATAATGTTGCTTACTGGTCCAGTTGTGAGGATTTTTCTTTTCTTTATGTTGAGTTGTAATCCATACTGAAGGCTGTGGTCTTTCATCTTTAAGTGCTTCAAGTCCTCTTCACTTTCAGCAAGCAAGGTTGTGTCATCTGCATACCGCAGGTTGTTAATGAGTCTTCCTCCAATCCTGATGCCGAGTTCTTCTTCAGACGGTCTAGCTTCTCAGATTATTTGCTCAGCATACAGACTGAGTAGGTATGGTGAAAGGGTGCAACCCTGACACACACCTTTCCTGACTTTAAACTACGCAGTATCCCCTTGTTCTGTCGGAATAACTGCCTCTTGATCTATGTACAGGTTCCTCATGAGCACAATTAAGTGTTCTGTAATTTCCCATTCTTTGCAATGTTATCCATAATTTGTTATGATCCACACAGTCGAATGCCGCTGCATAGTCAATAAAACACAGGTAAACATCTTCCTGGTATTCTCTGCTTTCAGCCAGGATCCATCTGACATCAGCAATGATATCCCTGGTTCCACATCCTCTTCTGAATCCGGCTTGAATTTCTGGCAGTTTCCTATCGACATACTGCTGCAACTGCTTTTGAATGATCTTCAGCAAAATTTTATTTGCATGTGATATTAATGATATTGTTCGATGATTTCCACATTCGGTTGGATCACCCTTCTTGGGAATAGGCATAAATATGGATCTCTTCCAGTCAGTTGGCCAGGTAGCTGTCTTCCAAATTTTGTGGCACAGAACACTGAGCACCTCCAGCGCTGCATCCATTTGCTCAAACATCTCAGTTGGTATTCTGTCAATTGCTAGAGCCTTGTTTTTTGCAGATGCCTTCAGTGCAGCTTGGACTTCTTCCTTCAATACCATCAGTTCCCGATCATATGCTACCTCTTGAAATGGTTGAACATCGACCAATTCTTTTTGGTATAATGACTCTGTGTATTCCCTCCATCTGTTTTTGATGCTTCCTGCATCATTTAATATTTTCCCCAGAGAATCCTTCACTATTGCAATTTGAGGCTTGAATTTTTTCTTCAGTTCTCTCAACCTGAGAAATGCCAAGCGTGTTCTTCCCTTTTGCTTTTCTATCTCCAGCTCTTTGCACATATCATTATAATACTTTACTTTGTCTTCTCGAGCCGCCCTTTGAAATCTTCTGTTCAGTTCTTTTACTTCATCATTTCTTCCTTTTGCTTTAGCTACTCGACATTCAAGAGCAAGTTTTACAGTCTCTTCTGACATCCATTTTGGTCTTTTCTTTCTTTCTTGTCTTTTTAATGACCTCTTGCTTTCTTCATGTATGATGTCCTTGATGTTATTCCACAGCCCACCTGGTCTTTGATCATTAGTGATCAACATGCCAAATCTATTCTTGAGCTGATCTCTAAATTCAGGTGGGATATGCTCAAGGTCATACTTTGGCTCTCGTGGACTTGTTCTAATTTTCTTAGTTTCAGCTTGAACTTGCATATGAGCAATTGATAGTCTGTTCCCCAGTGGGCCCCTGGCCTTGTTCTGACTGATGATATTGAGCTTTACCATTGTCTCTTTCCACAGATGTAACCGATTTAATTCCCGTGTATTCCATCTGGCGAGGTCCATATGTATAGTCGCATTTTATGTTGGTGAAGAAAGGTATTTGCAATGAAGAAGTCATTGGTCTTGCAAAATTCTATCATACAATCTCCAGCATTGTTTCTATCACCAAGGCCATAGTTTCCAACTACTGATCCTTTGTTTCCAACTTTCGTGTTCCAATCACCAGTAATTATCAAAGCATCCTGATTGCATGTTCGATCAATTTCAGACTGCAGAAGCTGGTAAAAATCTTTAATTTCTTCATCTTTGACCTTAGTGGTTGGTGCATAAATTTGAATCAGAGTTGTATTAACTGGTCTTCCTTGTAGGCGTACGGATGTTATCCTATCACCGACAGCACTGTACTTTAGGATAGGTCTTGAAATGTTCTTTTTCATGATGAATGCAATGCCATTTCTCTTCAAGTTGTCGTTTCCAGCATAGTAGACCGTATGATTGTCCAATTAAAAACGGCCAATACCAGTCCATCTCAGCTCACTAATGCCTAAGATATCAATGTTTATGCGTTCCATTTCATTTCTGACGATTTCCAATTTTCCTAGATTCATACTTCGTACATTCCGTGTTCCAATTATTAATGAATGTTCGCAGCTGTTTCTTCTCATTTTGAGTCGTGCCACATCAGCAAATGAAGGTCTCGAAAGCTTGACTCCATCCACGTCATTAAGGTCACTTCTACTTTGAGGAAGCAGCTATTTCCCAACCATCTTTTGAGTGCCTTCCAACCTAGGGGGCTCATCTTCCAGTACTGTATCAGACAGTCTTCTGCTGCTATTCATAAGGTTTTCACTGGCTAATTCTTTTCAGAAGTAGACTGCCGGGTCCTTCTTCCTGGTCTGTCTTAGTCTGGAAGCTCAGCTGAAACCTGTCCGCCATGGGTGACCCTGCTGGTATCTGAATACCGGTAGCATAGCTTCCAGCATCACAGCAACATGCAAGCCCCCACAGACAAACTGACAGATCTCAGGGTTAGAAATATGAATTATTGTCCTCTGTGTTTTTAATACAGAAGATCCAAACTTGAAGCCAAGATAGGTCAGAAAACAAGTGACACCACTGGTTTCCTGTCACCCAACCACAGAGATCAACTTCCTTCTGCAAAATCCCCCTCCATCTCCCAAATCGCTCCTTTACACCCTGACCACTGCCAACTCAGCAAGCCCTTGTGAGGCCCTTTCCACCTCCAATGATTTGGAGGAAAACCCTCCTACATCTGGAAAACCCCCAATTTTATCTTCTTGAACATCTAGATTCTGCCCAGCCTTCTGAAGTCCAAATTAATATCTGTAACTTCCCAGGACCCTTAATGATCAGCCCCCATCAATTACTCCACATACCATACACTGCATTAGATTGGAACTTGGCTGCTAACCGAAAGGTCAGCAGTCTGAACCCACCAGCCGCTCCTTGGAAACATTATGGGGCAGTTCTATTCTGTCCTATAGGGTCACTATGAGTCGGAATCAGCTCGATAGCAACTGGTTCGGTTTTGGTATAGATATTATGAATATTAACATCAAATCGAACGGACCAAACTATATTTCACTATCTTCCATTCAGCCTTTTAAGAACTATCCATGCTTTTAACAACTAGTTGTGTTGAGTCCTCAAGTATTCAAATGGTCCACGGCATGAGAGAGTTTAAAATGTTGTGGAAACATGACTTCTAGCAGTGACCCTAAGTGACCATGTGAGAAGGTGAGTCACCTAGGCCCAGGAGTGAACCTGGCCAACCACACAGTACCTACATCTCAAGGTGATTTTATTCTCTGCTCAGCATCCCAGAAATATATTTTGGGAAAGGTATGTGTTATTACAATAGCCACATATTTGGGAACTCAGGAATTTTAGTTCCAAAGATCTAAATGTATTTTTCTTGACTATATACAAACTTGCTCAGAGAAAGGACTGCGACCTAAAACTGTACCACCAAGATGGGAGATGATGGATCGTGGAGGCAGATTGATGGTTTCTATGTCCTCATGCTCACTCAGGAGTAAACATGTTACTCCTGTGCTGGGACAAGGTTCCTCTTAAAAACTTCCTCTTAAAATGCCTATTAATTGATACCAGGCCTCACAGCAGTTTGCAATATGACAAGAAATGTCAAATAATTCTGATGCAAATTATGTGGTACCCTACTATAGGCTTGGCCATTGTCTATGTTACAAAAGGGGTTATTCAAAACACAGTCTCCCAACAAACAAACCCACACACAATCTCCACATATTAATTTAAATGCACTACGTATCCTACCCCCTGCTCCCAGGATTGCTTTTTCTGTCTCATTTTCAAAACATATCATCTTACCTCAAAGTACATTCCAGGACTAAATGGGAAACAGGTAATATTTCTCTCTTCTTCTCCCCAGGACTCTTGAAGAAAAGAGTTTCTTACAAATGCTTTACTATTCAGGCGTGGGTTCAAGTGTAGAGCAATATCTCTTGATTTTCCTGCTACCAGATCAACATTAAAGCTTTTGAGAGAATAAAAGAAAAAGACCTTAATTAACCAAATAGGAGAGGGTAGTGGCAGTTTCTGCAGTTTTATAAATTAGAATTGAACTAAGACAATAACCATAAAACATATGAACATCAGAATGCAGACAGAAGTGAGATTTTAAACTCTGAGTTAGCCTTCCATTGAGATAACTATATTATCTGCAAAATAAAAATGTAAAAACTTTGAAATCACTGTTGAGGCTCAAGATCTGGCTGGGAAGAAAGAAAGGCTTAAAGCTGGTAAAACGAACAATTAACTCAGACTGCAGAAACTGGGGTTCCTTTCAAGCAGTTGTCTGCTTCTGTTTACACGTGTTCTTCTTGAAAGTGTGCAACTAACTCTCTAGGAAATAGCCCTAATTTCAAGCCTTCAGAAGTCTGGGAAATCTCTTCTGGAAAGTTTCTTGAAGCAGAAATTTTACAAGTCACATGACAACTGTAGCCTAACAAAGGATGCCTGATCTTCTGGAGCTGTCTGGAGTTAACTAAGGCCAGGGTGGGTCCCTCCAGGGGATGGGAAGAGTGATTAGCAGCAGATCAAAAGGGCCATAAAATGCCGCTATCTTCTTATCTGGCCAGAAAAAGCCTAGATCAGAACACTGCAATTTAGTCCTGGCTCTGCCACCAGCTCACTAAACAGTCTAACCTCCGTTTGCTTTAAAACTGACCTTTCAAGGGGGGATAGTGACACTAGCCCTGCTACACTGCACAAGACAGCTGCAGTATAAGGAGATGACAGACACACTGCTACTGGTAACTGAATGATACTGACCCTTTGGCATTTGTGTTCACTTCTCCTTTAATGACGACAGTCCGTCCAGGGCCCATTGAAGAGTTCAGCCTTGCAGCAAATGGCAGAGTCTGAAAAGAAACCACATTCAAGACCAGAAAGCTTGCAGAAAGGGATTTCATGGGATAACTGTGCAGAGGACATGGGGATGGTTAAGGGCCATTATAATGCAAACTTCACAAAGGGACAAAGTCTGTCTTGACCCCAGATGTATCCTCAGCAGCCAGCACTGTGCCTTACACATAGTAGGCACTCAGTGAATGCGTTTTAGATAATGAGATGAGTGGGCACGGAGTGAGTGAAACCCACTCAGAGAAGGCCGCCTATACTTAGGGTCTGAAAGCAGTGTCCTATATTCTGCCTGAAGTGGAACGGCCCAGCTGGCAGAGCTAAGAAGATCCACACTAACAGCTCTGAGACTTTATGCCTGGTTGACTATGAGACCTGCCCAGGCACAGCACGTGAGTGTGAAATGGCTGCTCTGGGCTCACACCGGGGGCAGACGTTACACAGAACAGCTACTATAACTTATTATGCATAGTTAAGAATATTTTGGGCTCTTCAAACCTTTGAAACACAGCTGATAGGTGGTATTTTGGCACAAGTCAAAGTGTGACTGACAGTCGAATCTTTGTTCCTGCTGTAGACAGTTCTGGGTGCGACTCTAGAAATGTCTCCTTCTCTATTACTAGGCTGTAGGGAAACAGTTCTACGGTAAGGCATGGAAGGAATGCACCTGTCTTCCAAGGTTTATGCTATTCATTTTCCTGGCAATTTTATAAAATGTCTCACATGTATAACCTAGTCAAAAATACTTACAAGCTGTGAGATGCCAGACTTCTGTACCTATGGGAAGAGAAAGAAAAAAATGAGAACATTTTGAAAGGGAAGAATTACATTTAGTAATATGAACAGTCTGAGTGTAAACACATAGGTGGCCAGGGCTTTATGAGGCGGTGTTAGGGAACTGTAAAGGACTTAGAAGATGGGAATATAGTCTAATAATCCTGTTAGTCTGAATCCTTTATCCTCCATCAAAAGTTAATAACCTTTTGTAATACTACACATCAGTTTTAAAAATTTCTTACTGTCAGAACTCAAATTCTTAAGAAGTCTAGACTTACTGGACCACCTGAGACTAGAGGACTCTCCGAGACTACGGACCTGAGACAGTCTTTAAATCTTGAACCGAAACTATGCCCTGAGGTCACCTTTTAGTGAAATAAGAGACAGGCACACAAAATAAAGGATATTATCCATGAATATGGTGCTCCATTAAAAAACCAACTATCTGAGACCAAAAGGTCAACAATTACTCTAAAACAAAGATGAAAAGATAAGGGGGCAGGGAAACTAGAATACTAGAAATGGAACAGCCAGAACGCAATTAAAAAAGAACACTGAGACATTGTGAAAAATGTAACTAATGTTGCCGAACAATTTGTGTAGAAATTGTCAAATGGGAATTGAATTTGCTGTATCAACTTTCACTGAAAACATAACACTAAAAAAAAATTTCTTACTTGTACTTTCCAGAGTACCCTCAAAATGCTGAGATTATATTTTACCTCTGAGAACGTGCTGAGATCAGTAAGATCTTACTTCCTATGCTAATAACAGCAAAGACACAGTCTTTAAATTGTACTCGTTATCACAAGGGGAGGAGATACAAATGGAAGTACATTTGCCAGTGCAGTGATTAGTATTCAATATTTATAAAATAACTCATGCAAGCACTATTCAACAGCTAAGAGTAAGAGAGTACTTTGTACATAAAATGATGGGCAGTGGTTATATAAACTGATACTTTAAGTATCAGTGAAAACTTACAGTGCACCACAGAAGGATATGCCTCAATTTTCAAAGGATTACTTCTAATAGTCTCATATTAAAAACATAATTTAAAAACAAGCTTATCACCTGATTTACATGCAACTAAAATGATATTTTTAAACTGATAGTTCACTGCAAGATTTAATATTTACATTTTCTCTATTTATCTGTATCAGCTCCACAGATGATGCTTGGGTACCTTGTAAATCCTGAAAAAGGATAGTAAAAATTTAATTTTTAAGATCCATCAGAACATCTTTCTAAACACAATTTGCTTGACAAATCAAAAAGAATTATAAATGGCACGAAGCATAAAATATGCTTTAAAAATATACTAAAAATGCATTTAACATCAGGGTCTTCTCTCCCCAAACCTCATCAAATTGGCAAACATCAAAAAGAATAATAACTAACGTGGACAAGAATGTGAGTAAATGGGCATAGTTGTGGAGAGTGCAAATTATTTTAATCTTTTTGGAGAGAATGTTAGCAGTATCTATAAAAACTTAACATGCAAATACCCTTTGACTCAGACATTTCACTTCTAGGATCCTATCATAGAGAAATACTCCATTGTACTCCTATGTAAATAGCTCCATCTAGCTAAAAAGGGTGTGGCTTTTTTAGTTCAGTTTTTTTATTTTTTGCTAGAACCGTAACAGATTTGAGATCCTACACAAAATAAAGCCCTGGTTGATAAATGGTGTCCTACCAGTCTGAAGGAGTCCTGGGTGGAGCAAACGGTTACACGATTACTAGCTGAAAGGTTGGTGGTTTGAACCCACCCAGAGGTGCCTTGGAAGACAGGCCTGGTGATCTGCTTCCAAAAGGTTACAGGCTTAAAAACCCTATGGAGCAGCAGTTATACTCTGCACACATGGGGTCACCATGAGTAAGAACAGACTCAGTGGTGGCTAAGAACAACTAGTCTAAAAGATTTACTTCCAAAAAGATTAATACTTAATGAGGGAAACATTTACATGATTTTTGTCACAACAAATGTTAATTAAAGATGTTTTTCACATCATTTGGTCACAAAAGCATCATCAAAGAAGATCCCGAGGTGTAGAAGGGCACTCACCGAGCTGAATCTAAAACCGACAGAGTGAATGTTCACTTTGCCATAAATGCCCAGAGTGTCGATTTTCTCCAGACTAATCCTGTGGGCATAGAGTAGCGTATGTTTTCCATTTACAGCCACCTAGACAGACATAGAAGATGACCCCCCAACCCAAAAAAAAAAAAAAAAAAAAAAAAACAGTTAATAAATTATTTTCCAAATTAGAATCCAATTCCTTGGGTTTAAGTTTATGTCTTTTCCCACAGATGTCCACATTACATGTCTGGGCAAACTCTGACTGAAAGCAACCATAACACCAGCAACATTTCTGAACTTCTGCTGAGTTTCTGATCTGATTAGATCCCATGGACCCTCACCCAGACAAATATATGCATCGTGAACGTATGTAAGTACGCATGTGTGTAAGTGTGCACATATGTGAGCATCCCAGGGTTCAAAGGGTGCCGGGAAACCACAGGCACACTAGAGACCTATAAGCCCAGGTTAAAGATCCGCCCTGCAAGCTTGCCACCACATTTCCTTGAGACCATACTGTAAGCAATTACGAGAGAGGGCCTATAAATGCTCAATAAATGTGTGGCGAATCTGCAGAATGAATGAACTGGCCAAGTTACCCAACTTACCTGAGATGCATTTTTCTTACTTGTAAGTAGGAAAAATCTCTCCCTCAAAGGGCTACTTATGTGGGTCTCCTAGCATAGTGCCTGATACAGAGTAGGTATTCAGTACATTTAGTTGTATTTCCTTTCCTTCCGAATGCCAGCACACAATATGGTTTCTGACCTCAAAGAGCTTGAAGTCCCATTGCTGTTGTTGTTAGCTGTTGTTGAGTTGGCCCCTGACTCATAGTGACCGTATATACATTGGGATCGGACCATTGTGATCCACAGGGTTTTCACTGGCTGATTTTCTGAAATAGAGTGCCAGGCCTTTCTACCTAGTCCATCTTAGTCTGGAAGCTCCGCTGAAAACTATTCAGTATCATATCATAGCAACAACATGCAGGCCTCCACTGACAGACGAGCAGTGGCTGCGCTGAGGTGCACTGGCTGGGAATCAAACCTGGGTCTCCCACATGGAAGGTGAGAATTCAACCACTGAACCACACTGCCCTCCATTAAAACCTCATTTAAACCAAACAAAACCAAACCTGTTACTGTCGAGTCGATTCCAACCCTACAGGACAGTGGAGAACTAACCCACAGAGTTTCCAAGGAGTGGCTGATGGATGCAAACTGTCAACCATTTGGTTAGCAGCCAAGCTCTTAACTAATACTCCACCAGGGCTCCAAAATCCCACTAGGGAGGCAAAATTAACATAGGAGAATACCAAAGCACAATAACAGCTGTACAGGAACAACTGTTAAAAGGAATGGTATAGACATACTGAAAAAAACAGAAAACTCAAACTCGCTGCTGTCAATTCAATTCCAACTCATACTGACCCTATAGGACACAGCAGAACTGCCTCGTGGGGATTCCAAGGAGCGGCTGGTGAATATGAACTGCCAACCTTTTGGGTAGCAGACGAGCTCTTAACCACTGTGCCACCAGGGCTCTGCTACAGACATAAGTGCTCAAATAAACAGAGAAGGGAGAAGTCAATGGAGGTTAGGGGACTGAGGGGAGAACTTAGGGTAAGAGCTGCATCCTGAAGGACAGAAAGGATCTGCACCCACAGATGGAGTTTTTGCTCTAATCAATACAAATCTCTAGTTCTGGGAAAGCTCTATAGGCTTGAGGGACAATGGTTATAATAGTTTCCAAGACCAATTCAACTTGACACATACTCTTTAGGTATAAAATGTTCGATGAAGCCAGTGGGAGAATTTACTATACAAAGGATTTCTAAGATCCCCTCTGGGTCTAAAATCTTACGAGCCTAAACAGCTACCTTGTGGCAGGGCTCTGGACTTTACAGAACCCTTCTGACTTTATACTGGGATTCCCCATCTGTTTGTTAGTTCCCAATTCTCCACACAAGTTTGGGTAATGGCAGTTAAAATTTATTACCACATAATTAACATAATGCCGTGCCAATTCCATATGAAACTCAGCCCTGCTGGGAGAAATGTGCTCTAATAAAAAGATCTGGCCACCCTGGACTTGTATCCCCACATGGCGACACAGAGCAGCTGTGCTCCTTCACACATTGAGGTACTTGCCTGGCCCCTACTTTAAAGAAAAATCAAAAAGCCACACAATGTCTCTGGATTTAATAAATAAAAGGGTGAGATCAATAGTGTGAAAAGCTTCCCTGTGAGCTTATTCTTACTAATGAGGATTCAACTTGTCATTCTCCAAAACAAACCTGGAATTTGTCCTTCAGCACCATGATCACGATTTCAAAAGACTTTTCTTTTTGGAAAGGCATGTCATAGGTGATGTTTTCCCATCCCCATTTTTCATTGATTAGAGTATTGCAAACAATGCAGTTGGTCCTTTTGAAGCGTGGATTGAGATGAAAGGCCACATCAGCTCGAGGTTTCACGCTGCTGCCACATTGTAAGTCCACCTGGAATCTGAAAGAAATGTGGGCCACGTGAGTGCTCACAAAGGAGAGCCTGAAAATGTCAAGTCTCATTTAATCTTTCCCCACGTACACGTTCCACAGAGGCTGTTATTAAGACTTAAGTGTATTATTATGATGGGCTTGGTACTGTGCCAGACACAAGGGTCACCATGGTAAGCAAGACAAGACTTGGCTCTCACGGAGCATCGAAGACTCGCCTAGACATCTCCTGCAATGCTTCTTTTCATGCATCACTGACAGGAAAAGTGTCTTCCCTTGTTTCTCCGGGTGTGGGAGGGCTCTTGCCCTGGCTCACTATGTTTCTCTTTCAGCTCACTGCATGCATTTTTGAGGGGGCTGGACCAAGGCGAGGGTCTGCAGATCACAAGCCACCTTGCTGGCTGCAACACCCTGAGCTTCTTAGCATCAGCTTCAAACAGAAAACACTTAGCTAACAGTTTTATGCAAGCCATTAAAACACGCTCTGTAAAGTACTACTGGGCTGCTACTTTACCTTCCACAAGCCCATAATATGTACACTACTGGAGAATAAACAAAACACTCTGCTTGAAGGAGGAAAAGTAGGTTGGGTCATACTCCTGCCTTTTTAAGAGACTTAGTGATCTAGTAAGTATTTTGTACTTATTCATTGCCTTTCTATGAATAATGGAAAAATGATTTCCCAATCCAGTTTGAATACCTCCCCAGCTTCTGAAATATTCAGCATGAATCATAGCCCACATGGTCTACTGTGTGTATGTCAAGAGGCAGCACAAGATGGCCAAGGGGTGTGGCCCCAAGCAAGACTTCCAACCAACAAAGCCAATCTGGGACAAAATTGTGACATAGAAAAGTCTGCCTTTAGACTCCCCAGCATCTGTATAAACTCGTCTCTGACTTCTGGAGCTTACTTACTATTACGTGAATTCACAAAGGACCTTCAATGAAAACAAAATCTCAGATTTTCACCTATTTAATTGACAAATCAAGGACTGGTGTTTCTCAAGTCACAAAAATGGCAACTGAGTATTTTCTGATGAGCCCATCTAGAGCAGCTGTTAGATTCCTATCACATTATATAACATCAGAATAGCAGCTACTGAGGCAGCTAAAGGGACTCCTGCAGGTAAGGCCCAGCAAACTGGAAAATCTAGACTGAGTGACATATGGGCTGGCCCCTTGTTCACTTACCAAGGGGCCTAAATAGATGGTTATTTATCCTTCCTTTCCTCCTTCCTTAGCAACAGAACCCTGAGTTTTAGCTGGGGCCGTATCTTCCCAGGGTAAGAAATTCTATTTTCCTGCCTCCCTTGCAGCTAGGCATGATCGTGTGGTTAAACTCTGTCAAAGAGATGTAAGTAGAAGTAAGTGCTCAGGGATAACTACTGGAAATTACCTTAAGAGTCAGCTGACATCTGCCTTTTGACCACCCACACACACATATTTTTCTGTTGTTGTTCCAAAATTACAAAAAGATAGTTTAGTCATGTTCTTTTTTCACCTAACACAATGATTTTACCTGTCTGAATCACTCGGAACATGCCCACGTATTACAATCAAAGTCCCAGGCTCCAACTGCTCAGGAATGGTGCCAACATAGGGGATTACCTAGGGGGGAAAAATTGTTTTTAACAAATGATCATTTATATAAACAAAATTACTGACTAAAATTATAACCAAAACACAGTTAGCAATAGAGAATGACTAAATTTTTAAAAGCTGCACATAAATCTGCTTAGAATCTAGCATTTTCCAAGTAGTCCTCACTATTCAAACAGCTGCAGGAAACAACATGGTGAGGATATTTACAATATTTACAAACCATTCTGAGTTCTTTGGAAAAAGACACAAGATAAATACTATTCATAGTACTTCCTATTTGGCTGAGGGTTTTGTTAAATAAAACTTCCACTTAACATGGTAATTCTGATAATAGAAAAAACAACTTTTTGCAATGCCATGCCTCCCCACGCCTTTTTCCTACCATTCAGTACTATTCATAGTACTTCTTATTTGGCTGAGGGTTTCGTGAAATAAAACTTCCACTTAACGTGGTAATTCTGATAATAGAAAAAACAACTTCTTGCAATGCCATGCCTCTCCATGCCTTTTTCCTACCATTCCACTGACAATCCCCAAGAGCAGCCTCAAGACCACCCTAGTCCCTAAGCCAATGATGACAGAGATAATGATAGATATTCACTGCCTCTGGAGGGGGCTCCAAATGAAGCCACACTCCCACACCTGGGATAGAAGGCCTAATCATCTCCTCTGGCTTCCACACTGCAACCCAGACCACACTGTTAGAAATGCAACAGAGAACTGCACTACCTTAAGGATGAGCTCCAGATCCTGTGGATCTCTCAAGACATGAAATCCACCTGCCTTGGGCTGGTCCTGCTGGCGGGCTTGGGCTCTGACAGGTTGCCCTGCACAGATTCAATGCACTGTCAGATCTCGCCACTCCTCTGCCCCAGAGATGATGCCACAGTCCTCTGGCTGGGGACCTCTGCTACGTGGCTACATCTCCTGCACCACAACCATCTCCTTCCTCCGTTCTGGAGCATGTGACCAGCACATGCAGCCAGACATCATTATGCCGTATGCCAAGCTTACCCAAGTTATGATAACCAAATCAAACTCGTTGCCGTCAAGTCGATTCTGACTCATAGCAACCCTACAGGACAGAGTAGAACTGTATATATGCTAAATCTATCCAGGGTAGCTCTAATTGACTGATAGACAAGAAATAACACAAGAGAGCCCATATAAGAGTAGTGGTAAGCTGGTGGCCCATACACTGAAAGTCTTGGCTCAAGCCCAATCTCCTGGGCAGACTGAGTTAGCCCTCTGAGGATCTACCCACACACTTCCTAACTTGTTTGTTCACACATACTTCTGCACAGACTGTGAGCTCTGTGGGGTAGGCCTGGATCATCATGTTTACATCCCAGGACAGAGGTCAACAGACAATCATTAGATACATAAAGAATGTATCTAGTTTCACCAGCCTGAAAATGGATGCTGGCAGGCCTTATCCATGCAGAGGAGAGGCGATTAAGCAGCTGCTGGACAGCGAGCTGAGGCAACAAGCTCACTACTGCTTTAAGCATTTAGATGAGAAATGAAGAAAGCCAATTATCCATTTGGTGTTAGGGCAATCACTGAGAGCAGGGTAGGTGGGGATGAGCAGAGGCAGCATCAGATCAGAAAAGGAAAAACATAACTGACTCTACTCACTGTCCTATGGCTCTAGTTCAGAACAGCTGTTTTTGTGTGTAGGGAATGTGGGAGGGATGGCACATTCACACCTGTGATACACATCTGATCTTTGGGGCTACACCTGATTCCCAGAATATGCAGCAGCATCTTTCAGAGTGTAAACCTCGTAATAAAATGAAAACCACTTCTGCAACATTAAACTTTATATATAGTAAATTATATTTATACAAAATGTTTAATACCAGAAAAATGTTAGTGATATAAAGATCAGTGAAAAACTAATGTACAAAACTACAGTATATGGTATGACATCAACCAAGTCAAGATAAAAATAAACATTATAAAGAAATAAACCAAAAGGGTTGCAATAGTTTTCTTAGGGGATGGGATTTTAATTTTCTTCTTCATATATTTTCATATTTTCCAGATTTCTATAATAAGCATTTATATTTTTATAAGCACAAAAATATTTTTAATCATATACTTAATTTTAGAGTTGGACAGAAAGAGTTTTGAGTCCAAACAATCTACCTCCATCACTGTTAATAAATTGTTTACAATTGTTAAGAAGTTGTTCCAGTCTGAGAAACAAGTCTGCTGAGAATCTGGCTGTTTGCTGTTTTAGTTGTGTGGATTACGGTAGTGCTGTCTGCTTAGGAAAACACCCTAAGTCATATACGTAATACTCAACTTTCTAGGACCCTGTTAGCGAGATAAAATGCCCTGCAGCCCACTCATTTTATTCATGACTATTTACTCCTATGAAAAAGGAGAAGGGCATTGTTTTCTAGGCAACTCCAACCTAGAGTCTTTAAAGCTTCATAAATAATTACTATTTATGTAAATTTTTAGAATATAGACATAATCACTTTTAAGACAATATCATAAGTTTAAGCCACTGTTAGGTTTGGTGTTACTTGCTGGCAAAACATCCTAGCTGATTCATACAGCTTTGCCTTTTTGATTGCTTACAAATGCCTGCTATGTGCAGGCTAGAAGTTAGACTGCAGCTAGAAGTATGAGACTCCCGTCCCTGAGAAGCTTATAATATGGGTGGGGAGAAGTCATACATCCATGAAAAGGTGATTCCAGTGGAAATGGGATATTCTGTTTGGCTGTCCAAAATCTGAATCCCTCTCTGTAGAGGGCTGAATAGCATCCCGCCTCCCTCCCAAAATTCATGTGCACCTGGAACCTCAGAATGTGACCTTATTTGGAAGCTGTCTTTGCAGAAGTAATGCGTTAAGAACACACAGAGACACAAGGGAGAAGAAGGCTATGTGAAGGCAGAGGCAGAGATTGGGGTGTTGCAGTCCCATGTCAAGGAATGCCAGGAGCCACCAGGAACTGAAAGAGGCAAGGAAGGATTCTCTAGAGCCTCCAGAGGGATTGTGGCTCTGCCAACACCTTGATTTTGGGTTTTTGCCTCCAGAACTGTGAGAGAATAAATTCCTGATGTTTTTAAGCCACCAAATTTATGGTACTGTGTTATGGCAACCCTGGGAAATGAACACACCTTCTATACCCGGAAAATCCCCTACCTCATAAAGATTAGACCCACATCTAGATTATCCTTTTCCTAGCCTCCTTTGCAGTCAGGACAGGGGCGTATGATTAAATTCTGTCCATCAGAACTCCCATCTCAAACTTTAAAGCAGACAAGAAGTCAGAATGCTGCAGTATTTACTCTGGCAAGCGGGCAGCAGCTACACCCAGGGTCAGAGGTCACCGGTGGTATTGGCAGTGCAGAAAGTACCGTCTGTGTCCATCTTTGGCAACAGATGTCTTTTCATGATTTGGGGTGTTGTCTGTGGCTGTGTAGTCTCCAAACCTGGTTCTTCAGTCCTTCTAGAGACTGCAAGAACTACTCAATATCATTAATAAATTCCTTTTCTGCTTAAATTAGAGAGTTGGTTTCTGTTGCTTGCAATGAAGAATCCTGACTAGTTCAGTATCTAACAAAATGGAGAAGTAAGTAAGTGTCAAATAAATGCCTCAGGAAAATGTAAAAAAGATCTAACTGAGGTGGCCAGAGGAAGTTTATGAAGGATGTGTGATTTTTGAGTTGGGTAGACTATAGTTAGGCAGAGAGGAGGGGGAAACCACTTCAGGTGAAAATATAGGTTCACAAAAGCATAGAAGCAGGAAAACAAAAAATCATTCTGGGAGACAGTAAGTAATAAAGGAGTAGCTGCAAAGAAGTAGGGTCAGGTCAGATTTTGGAATGACATAATGCAAATGGCCTTTAGGAACAACAGTCCACTGTAGGCCAGGGGTCAGCTGGGGACTGACTACTTCCGGCAAGCCTGGCAGAAGGTGATAAAGGACATGATGCAGGCTGGTGGCAGTGGGTATGGGAGAGAAAGAAGAGATAGTTACAAGAGAACTTTCAAAGGAAGTTGTCTACATAGGGCTGCTGACTAAAATGGTAAAACTGGGAAGGAAATGAGACTTTAGACAGAAGACCAATGAGTTTGTTTTTGAACAACTTTAGAGTTAGCTGGACATCTAAGAGCAAATATACTGAAAGGGGTTAGAGATTCAGTACCTTAAGAGAATGGCCTGAACTATATTTAAAAGTCGGAGTAGAGATGATCAGTAAAGATATCAAAGTAGATAAAGAAGCCGAAAGAGAGTGAAGGCCAGGGGGCAAAGCCTCAGCGGTTGCTGAAATTAAGGGGTGTGCAGAGGAGAGTTAACACAGCAGGCCTGACTGCTCTCCTTGGAAAGGTCTGCTTAGAATAATGGCCCTTGGCTGGCACCTGGGAACCTGGATTTCAGAAGGACATCCACCACCCTGATAAATGTGGCTTCCTGTGCCTAAATTATTTGGGCACACAACACGGTTTATGCCAAATATCTGCTTTCCCTTTCAGAGTTTGGAATTTTTGACACATGCCAGGCAGAGACTGGCCTCAAACAAAAACCCTGCGCACTGAGTGTCTAATAAGCATCCCTGGGGATGTTACTGGGGGAATTAAGCACGTCCTATGGGATTCCGCTAAGAGAACCCTTGGAAGGTTGTACCTGGTTTTCCCTGACTTCACCCCATGTGTCTTTTCCCTTAGATGATGTCGCACTGTATCCTTTCATTGCAAAAACCACAGCCGCACTATAACTATATGCTAAGTCTTGTGAGTACTCCTAGCAGAACCCAGGGTGGCCTCGGGATCCCCAACACGGGGTGAGAAAAGAAAGGAGAGAGAAGGATCAGTCAGAACAGGTCAGTAGAACCAGTGATTGTCTTTAGGGAGGGGAACTGAGCACAAGGGTGGAATGAAGACTGAAGGGTTTCACTGAAACCCTTAGGAAGTACTGTTTGGACTTTTAAAACAATGTACACACATTAAATTTAAGAATTAATTTTAAAAAAGGAAAAGCCCCTG